TTCCTGCTAGGACTTTAAAAGCAATGGCTCTCACCTTGTTGCAGATCACAGCATTCATTAGATTCAGAAGCTGAAAGATACTTTCTGCCTTCTCAGCTTTACACTGCTTGGTTCATTTTGAAAGAGCTGTTTATATATAGTTGGACTAAGTTCAGTAAACTCAGAAAAACCCTGAAACTCTGAAGCATTAGATGTTATTCAAAGTATGATGCAAAAGAATCACTAATTTTTATCCTCTTTGTTATGTTGATAGAATTTGAATTCAGATTGCGCCAAAACTGCTTTGCTTGTGCTTTAACTTACCTGACTTTAACTTCTCTCAAAATAACCAACCAACTTGCAGGTTGTCTCCACCTATATTCAGGCGACTGTATTATGGAGATAATGGTGACCTTCAAATCTCTGTCCTCATTTGGAATTCCGTAGAACCTTAAAAGAGAGACTGCACAGGACACAATTTGTCTTAAAGTAATTTATCTCTCAAATACATCTGTTCCTAAGCTTAGAATCCTGTTTATCAGTAATTCAGTTGGGTTCACCTAAAGAGAAGACATTGTTTTAATGAATCTGTTGGCTTAAATTTGGTGAGGCACATTTCTAATCAAGTCCTTTTATACAAGTTTGTGTATATGAGAATGTATGTATACATAAATATACGAATAGTTAATCTTCACTATGTGCACTGATGTGTTATATCAGTATTTTTATTGGATTTCACAGAACTAAATACGTCTAATTTTCTACTAACATAAATGCTATATAACGTGTCTTCCTATATTTTTATATATCCACAACTGCTTATGTTGAAATAAACTACAAGAATCTCTTTACCATTTGTCTTGTGCATTGAGTCGCTTCCAAGAAATGTAAAAAATCTTAACCTGTAGCAAAACAGAACTATTAAAAAAAAAGAAACTATTATATACACTGCAAAATCCTTGTCCAGACCTTTTTAACTTCTAAGGGATATGTTGTCTTTTGGAAAAGAGAAAAGTTTGAAATATTGCATGTAAATGTTTTACTGTAGGAAACAAATAGAAGAGATGGAAGAAAAACAAAGATCCGACAAAGCAGAACTTGTAAGAATGCAGCAAGAGGTAGAGTCACAGCGCAAAGAAACAGAAATAGTACAACTGCAAATTCGAAAACAGGAAGAGAGTCTGAAACGGAGAAGTGTTCACATTGAGAGCAGGTTAAAGGATTTGCTGGCTGAAAAAGAAAAATTTGAAGAAGAAAGGTTACGGGAACAACAGGAAATAGAACTTCAAAAGAAAAAGCAGCAGGAAGAAATTTTTGGCCGGGTCAAAGAGGAGTTGCAGCGACTACAAGAACTGAATCATAATGAAAAAGCAGAGAAAATGCAGATTTTCCGTGAACTAGAAAAACTTAAAAAGGAAAAAGATGAACAGTATATTAAGCTGGAATCAGAAAAAAAGAGACTTGAAGAACAAGAAAGGGAGCAGGTGATGCTGGTGGCTCATCTAGAAGAACAGCTGCGAGAGAAGCAGGTCATGATAGAGATCCTGAAGAGAGGAGATGTACAAAGAGTTGAAGAAGAGAAAAGAGATCTTGAAGATATTAGAGAATCTCTTTTGAAAGTCAAGGAAGCCCGATCTGAAGGTGATGAAAACTGTGAAGAGTTAGAAAAAGCACAACATGATTTCATAGAGTTTAAAAGGAAACAACTGGAACAGTTAACTATTTTGGAAAAAGATTTAGTTCAACAAATGGATCACCTAGAAAAGGAAATAGCCGATGAAAAAAGAGCTCTGGAACACTTAAAATTTGCACATGAAGAACATTTAAATCTCAAGAGAGATGATGAAAACTTTGTGGATGCTGTACTGAAGGCTGAAGAAGTTGACAAGATAAAGCCAGTGGAGTACAGGCTCCAATCAAAAGTACGCCAGCTTGAGTACCTGAGGAGTAATCATTTGCCAGCTCTGCTGGAAGAAAAACAAAGAGCTTCTGAAGTCCTTGACAGGGGTTTGTTAGGGTTAGATAATACTCTCTATCAAATAGAGAAAGAAATAGAAGAAAAAGAAGAGCAGCTTGCCCAGTATAGAGCTAGCACAAATCAACTGCAGCAGCTTCAAGAAACGTTTGAATTCACAGCCAATGTAGCTCGTCAGGAAGAAAAGGTTCGGAAAAAGGAAAAAGAAATCCTTGAATCGAGGGAAAAACAGCAGAGAGAGGCACTGGAGCAAGCTGTTGCTAAGTTAGAAAGGAGGCACTCTGCTTTGCAACGTCGTTCGACAATAGACTTTGAAATTGAAGAGCAGAAACAGAAGCTTGCCACCTTGAACAACAGCTGCAGCGAACAGGCGGGTCTGCAGGCTAGTCTAGAAGCTGAGCAGAAGGCTCTTGAACAAGACCGAGAACGGTAAGTGTTGTGGTAGCTTCTGTTTACTAGAACCTGTCCACAAAGTGAATCACTTTATACCTTAGACAAGAGAATGATTTATTCTGTGTTTCAGTATTTGAGTTTCTTGGTAAGTTTCAAGTAGTTTACCCAGAACTGGAACTCTGTCTTGCTTTTCAAAGGATTCTTGCTCACTCATTATTTTCTGTTGTGTTCTGATACTTATCCCATCCTCAGCAGTACAGTATTTGCATTAGCCATCACAGTGCTTAAATAAATTGTTTTACCTATTTAGAAAGCTCAGCCAACCTTATGTTCTGCCCTTACAAAAACTTGTACCATCTAACAACTTTTTTTCTCTCAAAATATTAACGTATAACATTTTGTTTCTTTGTTAATAACAAGCTAGATGTTTGTTCAAGATTTGGAGACTGATAGTTGCAGTAGACTGTCAGCTGTCTCTCTCAACTGGTGATGTACTAAACACTTCTGGTATTCAAAGTAAATAGGTGAAATGTTTTTGTTATTGGTTTCAGGGCTAAAAAAAAAATAGGCTAGCCATATATCCACATAAAATTTTATGGTGGTTTTTCAGCTTATTGGAAAATGATGGAGGCTTTAATACAGCTCTGTGAGATGACAAACCCTTTTAGATACAGAAGCAGTGGCATCTGTTACACACATGGTATCTGGTAGCATAACATTTAACACAAGTATGGGAGACTCAGATAAAAGTGATTCAGGTAAGGAAGGATCTATGTGGAAGAGGAGGAAGAAATCTTTTATTTTTGGCCAGAGCAAAAATCCACTGGGATTAATGCAATTAATCCATGCAGTATGGAAAAAGGACAGAATTACCATTTTAAAATGTGTTGTATGATTTGCTAATTGTAGAGCTTTAAAACCTGTGATTATTGGTGAAACAATGAAGTGTTTTTTCTTGAGGTAGCATTTGTCATTTGTTTTTTTAATATTCCATTAATTATCTGACTCTCCTTTCGTAAGCCCTTCAAACAGATGCTTGATTAGAAAAAACACCTAAAAAAAGAAACTTGCCTGTAGACAAATTGAAGAGCTCTTCTATATCCTTTCCTTTTAAACCACTATCAGAAGAGAACAGTTCCTTTTTATGCCCTCTGTAGAGGTCACTTTTTCAACATTTAGAGCTACACTGTGTGGGTTTTAGTTAAGCATCTTCAATACTGAGTTACTATTTTGTTGTGGGTATTGCCATTATTTTTCGTAATTGTCTTGGACATAAAATCTCATTTTCTACACTAAGTACCTCGCTTTACTGAAGTCAGCTATAAACAACTGGAGGTTCTGCAAAAATAGACAGCTTAGCCCTCGAGAGATTGCTGGATTGTGTGATAAGTGAAAAAATATGCTGTCAGCTACAAGACTGAGGTTTGGAAAAGATACCAAGGAAGTTTTTTTTTTTTTTTTCTTCCCCTTGTTTTTTTTCTTGTTTACTTTAAAGTCCTCTTGCACAAACTAAATAAAACTTTGAAGTCTTTCAGTGAATCGCCCAGGGGCCTGAATAATTCTGTTCAGAATGTTTCTATGAATGTTCAGGCAGAAGGAAATCTTAAGATACATGATAGGATGTTAAATGTTTCAGGCTACTAATCACTCTTGTGTTTGAGTTTATACTTCAGAGTACACAACGTCTTGGGTACTATAGTAAGTGTATGAATTGTATATGTTTCTTATTATAGAATCATAGAATGGTTTGGGTTGGAAGGGACCTTAAAGCTCATCCAATTCCAACCCCCCTGCCATCAGCAGGGACACCTTCCACTAGACCAGGTTGCTCAAAGCCTCATCCAGCCTGGTCTTAAACACTTCCAGGGAGGAGCATCTACAACTTCCTTGGGCAACCTGTTCCAGTGTCTGACCACCCTCACAGTGAAGAACTTCTTCCTAATATCTAATCTAAACCTCCCCTCTTTCAGCTTAAACCCATTTCCCCTTGTTTTGTCATTAACTGCCTTTATGAAAAGTCCCTCCCCAGCTTTCTTGTAGGCCCCCTTCAGGTACTGGAAGGCCACTATAAGATCTCCCTGGAGCCTTCTCTTTTCCAGGCTGAACAGCCCCAACTCTCTCAACCTGTCCTCACAGCAGAGGTGCTTCAGCCCTTGGATCCTCCTGGAGGCCTCCTCTGGACTCGTTCTAGCTGCTCCAGGTCTCTCTTGTGATGGGGGCTCCAGAACTGGCCGCAGTACTCCAGGTGGGGCCTTACAAGAGGGGAGTAGAGGGGCAGAATCACCTCTCTTGACCTGCTGGCCACGCTTCTCTTGATGCAGCCCAGGACACAGTTATTGGCCTTCTGGGCTGCAAGCGCACATTGTCTGCTCGTGTTCAGCTTCTCACTCACCCTTCTCTTCAGAGCTGGCCTCAAGCCACTCATCACTGAGCCTGTATTTGTGCCTGGGGTTGCCCCGACCCAGATGCAGGACCTTGCATTGTTTATCTAGATACCATTATAGGATGATGTGCTCAGGTTCAGATCCATGTTAACTCTCTGAAAATGTTTAAATGCAATATCCCTTTGAAATGCTCTATGAGCGGAAGTCCATCATAACTGGATAAAATGGGGCTTTTTTCCAGTTTGAATAATATGGGTTTGAATATTATGAATAACAGTGGGTCCAATGTTGTTCAATCTATCTGAATAATATGGGTTTGAATATTATGAATAACAGTGGGTCCAATGTTGTTCAGTCTATCCACCAGTGACTTAGATGAAGGAACAGAGTGCCTCCTCAGCAAATTTGCTGATAATACTAAACTGGGAGGAGTGTTGGATATGCCAGATGGCTACACTGCCATTCAGAGGGACCCTGAGAGGTTGGAGAGATGGGCAGAGAGGAACCTCATGAGGTTCAACAAGGGAAAGTGCAGGGTCCTGCATATGGGAATGATTAACCCCAGTACAGGTTTGGGGCTGACCTGGAAAGCAGCCCTGTGGAGAAGGACCTGGGAGTCCTGGTGGACAGGTTATATGAGCCAGCAGTGAGCATGCTCTTGTGGCCAGGAAGGCCAATGGTATCCTGGGTTGTATTAGGAAGAGTGTTGCCAGCAGGTCGAGAGAGGTTCTCCTCCCCCTCTACTCAGCCCTGGTGAGGCCCCACCTGGAGTGCTGTGTCCAGTTCTGGGCTCCCCAGTACAGGCAGGACATGGAACTCCTGGAGCCCGTCCAGCCAAGGGCAACAAAGACGATTAAAGGACTGGAGCATCTTTAATAGGAGGAAAGGCTGAGGGAGCTGGGCCTGTTCAGCCTGGAGAAAAGACAGCTCAGAGGGGATCTGCTTAATGTTTATAAACATCTAAAGGGAGAGTGCCTAGAGAACACTAGGGGCCAGACTCTTCTCATTGGCACCCAACAATAGGATGGGTTGCCACGGGCACAAATTGCAGCGTAGGAAGTTCCGCCTGAACATAAGGAAGAACTTCTCTACTGTGAGGGTGACTGAGCACTGGAACAGGCTGCCCAGAGAGGTTGTGGAATCTCCCTCCTTGGAGATATCCAGAAACCATCTGTACAAAATCCTGGTTCATGTGCTCTAGCAGTCCCTGGCTGAGCAGCGTGGTTGGACTAGATGATCTTCAGAGGTCCCTTCCAACCTCAACCATTCTGTGATTCTCTGAATATTTTAGCTCAAATTCTTTCACCTATGAGGATGACCCCCAAAACAATAATTTAAAGTTAACTTCTACTGGAGTAATGCATACGCGTTTTGTCTTTAATGACAGACGTTTGTGGTAATAGAATGAACATAAAACAACATTAGAGTCGTCTTTGTGACAATGGGATGTATCACTCCCAAGAGTCAAGGTGCAGTTTAGTGTGCTTACTGGTGGATGGAGCACATGGCTGGAGAAGTTGATAGCTATAGGAAGTGATATCTTTTGATAGTAGGATGTTTACAAATCAAGACATAATCTTTGTTCCTTTAATGTAATTCAGATTTTTGTGGTTAAATTGATTTTCCGTAGATGCAAACACTCTGCTGTATCCATCAGCCATCTCCCATCCACTTTCCCTCAGGATGCAAGATCGTTTTGCTGCTAATCAAAAGAAATAGATGGCTTCTGGCAGTGCTGCAAAAAGTACTCTAAAAATGAAATAACAATTCAGCCTGCTTTACTGCAGCCTAAACCTCAGCGTTCATCACCTCTTTAATTTTCTGTTTTAACCTTCAGGATGGAATAAAGTAGTTGTAGTATTGTACTTCAATTTAGATACATGCAATTGTAGGATAAGTGGTAGGATCCCAACTTTGCAGTTTCCCCTGCTTTTGTAGGAACTTCTTTTCTTTTATTCTTTAATTTTCAGATATCCTCTAGAAAAACAATTACCTTGAGAGACAGAAGTTGTAATGGAAATGGGGAAGATTATTACTGTGTTACTAATCTAATCTCAGCTACATTACAAGTGAAAAGTGTGTTCTGCAGATTACATTATTATTATATAGTTTGTTTTGACTAAGTGATAAATATTGCAAGAAGTGCTTCTTATTTTATACTACATGCCTCAGGCATTTTTAGTCAAAAATATGGTATCCAATTTTACACGTTCTGTTCTGTGCATAAATCTATCTGGAATGGAATTTATTTGTTAAAGAAAGTGAGGACATTTCAATTTCAAAAGGTGATTTATTAGGTATATGTAAAATAAATACTAGATGTTTTATTTTCTAAGTAAAATATATACAGACAGGAGGAGTAACTGGAAAATAAGATTTATAGGTATAGTACACAATCTAAAGGTTATCTTACAGTTATGTTTTGCCTCATCGTTGTTTTAAGTTGTCTTTGGTTTTTGAGATTAGTGCTATATTTTTAGTTTTTAATTTCTTTCTTCCCATTTATTAATTTACTTCACACTGGAAGTTAATAATTGAGGTCACTGATAGTGTTCTCTAATGAGGAAAGTTTATTCAAGTGATCCTAATAGATAAGTTAAGTCTTATGAATTAATATTTAATGTGCTGAGTTAGATACCTTTTGCACTGGAAGTTATTGAAGTTGTTTTATTTAACATAGGACGACTGTTGTAATGTGATTTTGAGCTGTATCTATTTTCCTATCTAAATACGGTTAAAAACAATTATGATTTTTATATCTTCATAAATGTTAACACCTACAATCTTACTTATATGTATCCCAGTGTAAGTACAGTACTTCCCATAAGAACTATGGGAATGAAGTCTAAACCAAAACAAACTACATTTTAAGATCTCTTTATAGCCTGGACCAGGAAATTCGGCAGCTGAAGCAAAAAATATATGAGGGTGATGGTGCTCAGAAAGGAAATCATGGAACGTTAGAAGAGAGACTGTCCCATACCACTTCCCCTACCAGCCCAACAAAGCCACATCCACCCACTACTCCGCTAGTTGATGATAGGTAAGTAACCTGCTTTTCTGCAATATTTTGATATGAATGCAAACAGTAGCTTTAAAAAAAAGAAATATTTTGAAAGATCACTCTGCTAGGGTTGGATTGTAATTAAATACTGTTATTGTACTTAAAGACTAGTCTGGAAATAAAACTAATTTGCTGTATTTTACTTTAAATAACCAATAGGCTAATCTTTGCAGTTTGTTTTAGGGTAGAGGTTTGTGAAACTATAGGCTTAAATGTATTTAAATTGGTTTTGTGTTTACAGTTACTTGTCTATATGGTATTGCTTTATATGCACTTAAAGCAACAAAGTAAATGAAATTTTCTCAAGCCTTTTTTTGAGAGGCCAGCTGCCTAGTATCACTTAAAATCTATTTGCTCTCTGTTCTTTTTACACTTACAAATGCAGTTGTTAGTATCAACTCTTGGAACGTTCCTTCTGTTTGAAGACCAAACTTTTGTTAGCCCAAGTTGCCGATATTGGAAAGGTGGTAAAAGCAAACCATTAAGCAACTAAAGATGCAACCCCAGCCTTCTCTTTCTTCTTCATCTCTCTTACCCTCGATGCTGCTTGAATGCGGCATAGCAGTGGCTTAACCTGTGGTGCAATAAATTGTCTAATTATGATAACGAATTGTTAACCTTTGCCCGTTAGATGAACGCTTGCTCAAAAGTCCATGTTCCTTAAGGAGGAATAAAACTGGTCTAGCATTGAGCCTGCCAATTAAGAGTTGTGTGGTACTTTCAGTTCATAAGCATTTTGAAGAGCCTTTTAGCTTGTCTTGATTTTTATCTAAGAGTATACTTTTTTAAAAAAAACCCCTTTTTTATATCTTGAAGGATCAATGCCTTTATTGAACAAGAAGTGCAGAGAAGGCTCCAGAATATTCATCATAAAGCTGAGGATAATGATGTTAGCCCGTCCTGGTCTACAGAAAGTTTAAAGGTGAGCAGAGATGGGTAGAAAATCCTGACTTTCAATGCACCATGTATAACCACTGATTTAGTGGTGTTGTTCAATAATTTTCCTGTTTTCCTATGTTTACTTAATATTTTAGTTTACCAAAAAAGTAAACAGTAAATCAGGGATATCAGTTTTAGATTTTGTTCATCTTTTTCCCAGTGGCTGTTTTATGTTGTATTCAATTTTTTTTGCAGGGAAGAGTGTGTAAATGGCAACAGGAAGCTTGCAGATAAAATAAAAATCTTCGTTTTATGTCTGTAAAATACATTGTTAAAATTCAATCAAAGACTGGGGTGAATGACTTCTAAGCCAGTAGTTTAACAAATATCAATAAGAAAATTGTTATTTTTGACTATTAAAAAGAAAGTCTCTTTCTATAAATACTTTAAAATAAACTTATACAAGGAAGGCACTATTTTTAATAATCACCTGTACCTTTTCTGTTCTTAGGGTAATGAGAGGCTTAATAATGGCACTCTTCAACGCAAGCTGAAGTATGAGGTAGGTCGTAATTTGTCAGAATGAAATGGTTGTCTTAAATTATGGCATGCCCTGTAATTAAATTTCTTAATGTTTAGCTGCATAATTAAAATTTTGAATTCACAGCAAGATTAATGACTAATAGAGACAGCAATGTATTTTACCAGATGGAATTTAAGTGATTTTTTTCAGATTGGGCATAGCTTTTTCCTTATTTGAAAGATATGGTGTTATTGTGGATGTTTCTTCCTTGTTTTGTCATGATTCTTCATTTGGAACAGTATCCTTTTCCTGATCTCTAGAGGATAAAAGCATTTAATGAGGAGAGATTGTCTGAATTCAGAATACCACTTCACATTTTTGACTCACAATGAACTCACTACTGTAAGGGCATCTATAACATTAAGAAGTTACATCGGGCAAACTTGCCTGTGTCATGAAGGATTCACGCAGGTATTTTTAAACTGAGGCTTAGATCCCTACCTGTTTGGTTGCCTCACTTTTGCTTGAACCATGGTTAATTACTTGTCTTGGTGAGTAAATCCTAAATACCTTTATGGATCGGAACCTTAATAACAGGACGGCTGAAACACCGCCAACTTGGACTTCTTTTGGACTTTTACACTTTTATTTTTAAACTGTGTTGGATTTTGTTATGCTGTCTTGGATAGCATAGGATTACTTTTTTGTGCATGTCTGGAGAAATAATAAAGGGCTTACAAATCTCTGCATCGCCCTTTAACTTTCCTGTGTTTTGTGAGTAAAGCAAATATAAACCAAATGAAATGGATACTGTACAAAGGAAAAGCAGTGGTGTGCTGGGAAGATCAACCATTCCTGAATCAGACCTCAATCGCTTCTGTTGGATTTTCTCTTTCTAATTTTGAGAGATTGTACAATGATTGTATCAATTTGGAATGATTGTACAAACCTAATCAAAATCAATCCTCAATTTAAGAAATGTTCAAATCAGAAAGTTTGATAAAGACTTTTCTATTTTCTTCTTTTGAAATTTTTAACAGAATAGTCAACAGTGGCAGCCACATTATGGCTTTCCATTTATGTCTAAAGACGGCAATTGTGCTTCTGAGTTGTGTGGAGAAAACACAGGAGTAAGAGACCATAAAAGACCAAAGGAATATACAGAGATGTGGGATTTATTTTCCAGTTCTGGAAGAATCTCCTCCCCTTTTACATCAGAGAAGGCATTTGAGAATGAAAGGAGTAATTCAGAACAGGAGGGCTTTGCTTGTCGTTGTGACATTGAAAGTAGTTTAATTCACTCTAAAAATATTAATACTTTAAAGAGTAAGAATGTTCCTTATCAGAATGTTTTATCTACTTCTTTACAAAGTCATGACTTAAATAATGTGGCTTATTCACTCTGCAAGGTTGAAAATTTCAATCATTTTGACGATAAAATAATTGCTTCTCAAAATTGTGACAGCTCAAGAACTGAATCTGATTGTTCCCACTTGAAACAGCTGTCTCCTGTAGGATCCTTAATGGGTGCTAATGAGCAGGCTGGCTTTAACAGCATATCATACCTTCTCTTTTCTCAGTCTAATGTGCATTCTGAAATAATAACTTCTAAAGAAAACAGCCCATTTAAGACTGTGCACCCGACAATTGAAGACCAGTCTAGCAATTCTCAGCTTCCAACACAAAAAGACTCTGATTTGATTTCTTTTAAGTCAATAGCTTCTCGTTTTGATGTGAGCCCAGAGCACACCTATGGTTTGGGGTATCTTTTCAGTAAGCTTTCCTGCCTTTACAAAGATACCAGTCATCAGCTGCTCAACAGTACGGTGGTTTCTAAACAAATTAAAGAGTTGGGAAGCTTGTGTGACAGAAGCGAGAGATGTGCACAAGCAGTATCATTAATAAAAAATCTGCCATTTATAAGAAACTTGCAAATAAATATATTCTTCAAGTCAGATACGAATCAAGATGTGTCCCACTCTACTGATGGTGCCAAGGCTCATAGTGAAAATGTCATTCAGCCTGAATCCCCTGTGCAGGAGGCTATCACGATGCGCGTAAGCACAGAAATCTCCGATGCCTGTGTGAAAAAGACCTCTGAAGGATTTGTATGCTGTTGTAAAGATGAAGAGCTGGAAAACAGACTTGTATTAATACAGAAATTTGTGCATTTTCCTGACACCTTTTTGAAGCTTCAGGTCTGTTCTCTGAAAGAAGTGCTGGAATTTTTGACCTGTGCCTTACCTCAAATTTGTATTAGAATGGAGGAGTTGAAAGGTCTATATTGGCTCGCTGCTGGCAATTGCAAAAAACCTGATCCAGAACCTGCTTGCTTGCTTTTGTTCAGCTCTGTTCTGTATGTTGTTGTTTTGTCAGTCAAACAAGACATCTGCCAGAGTTCCTTGGCAATGTTTCATGAGGTTCCCATCACCACAATAAGGGAAATTCAAGTTGGCTTTGCTGGACAGAATATTACTCTCTCGTGTTCCGCTGAAGATGGTTTGCTCACAATATTTACCTATAACAAACACTTCACTCAAAGAATTTGCCATGACATAATGAGCGTTTTGATTTCTACAACGGATGATGCTGTTTATTTAAATCACCAGCTCTTGAAAGATGATTTGATGCAGATTTCGCTTGACTGGACATCAGAAATAAATGACTTAGTGTTTTCAAATGGAGTACAATTGTCTTGTAAATTTAGAACGGAATTAGCTGATCTGGTTTACTTACTCCATGAAAATATGGGAAGTATTAAACCTTCTTTAGGTGACATTCATGTACTGCTGTATACCTCAGTGAAAGTAGACTGTGCTAAGCAGACTGTGGATAGAGCTCTTGTTCTTACAACTACTCATATAGGTCTCTTAAGGGAAAACAATATCTTTTATCTGGCACCTAACTTTTTGGATGCTTCATGCCAGCGATCACAATTTGACAGCCTTCAGTTGTACAGTTTGAATGATATCCGCTGTGTAGTTTTGCCAGACAAAGAGAATTTCACAAAAATTGAGCTTGTGTTTTCTAGAAGGAGCAAGGTTGGATCTGATTCAGGAATGGGTTTTTCTAAATACTGTGAAAAAGAAATAAATACTCAACTGACAGTCATCCCATCAATTCTTCAAAGCAGTTTGCATATCCCTTCGGAAATCTGGAAATTAACATTCAGTTCAAGTGAAGAAGCCATTTGGCTAATTATGCATCTGACTAGGTGTTGAAATCCAAATACGTTTAGATACATTCAAAATAAGAGGCTAATGAATATTGATAAAATAATCTTTTTTTTTTTTTTTTAAGCATCAATAAGCAAAAGATTCCTTTGAGCCTGTAAGGGGGGAATACCGTAGGGTGTGTACATACATCTTAGCAAAAATCATTATTACTTAAGTGCTTGCTTTTTGTGGGCCACTGATATGCTGTGCGTACATTTCCTTGGGAAAGTGAGGAAATTAAATGTTTCTATCTTACGTGGTAGGTGGATCAAAACTATAATTAAAGCTGTGCCTTCTGATTTCCATTTTGGCTGTGTTTTCGGGCTCCTTCCATCTAATATCTGTCTTCATTAATGTCTTCTCCATTCCTTCCTGATTGCCTTTTCCTTAATCTTTCTGAGTATTTGTTTTTCATGCTTCTCATTTATTTCATGTTCTTGATTTCAATATTTCAAAACATCTGCAATACTTTTTTTGTCTGAACTGTAAGGTGCATTTAGGTCCCTATGGTACATTCACCGTATGCTCTTAATTCTAAGGATTTTTATAGCTTTTATACAATTTTGGTAAGAATAGCATTGACAATTCTCTTCTGCTTCAGAGTTTTGCATTAAGGATTATTGCACTTCTGCATTAAAGTTTGTCACAAGTGCAAAATGAGTTGTGTTTGGCTTATTCTAAGCATGTTGGCTGAGTTATCAGGAATTGCTGGATTTGCTGTATCTCTTTTCCCCTGGGTTTGCCCTCTTTGCCTATAGCCAAGAGAGTGTAGGCTATGTGGAAGCAGTGAAACAGAAACAGAAAAATGCAGAGAACATCCACTACTCTTTTTAGATTTTCCCTGCCCCTCATTTTCTTGCAGGAAAGCAATGCATGGTGTTGCTAAGTCATTCCAGTGTTTTGTCCAAATAGTTAACTTGTGAGTTAACTTTTGAGTAAGTCTTTGTATTGCCTTGGTGCGAGCATTTAAGGAAAATGTGTTGTGAAAATGAACCTGGTTAAAGGGTATAAACAAGTATTGATTGTGCTTTAAATAGCATTTTGACCTTTGGTCATGCTTCTATACCTGTGGTAAGACAAATGTTTTGGGGTTTATGATCAACATACATGTTTCTCATGCTGTTAAATGGATATGTAGCAACTAGGGATACAGCCTGACAGATGGAGTGAGTTTAACTCTAGCGTTCTCTCTGTGTCACGTGCCTGGCCTGACCTTCCTCTTTTTCTGCTTACTTAGTAATGGGGTTATTGATGCTGTGAAATTGGATCTTATACAGTCTCTTTAACATTACATTCCAAGAAATAATGGAACTATTGAACATTAGTAAAAGCTTTCCATTAGTTGAAGCTTCCCTTTATCTTAGTATAAGGTTATTCTTTACCTGTTACCCCTGTCAGATGTTCAAATAATAAATAAGCTGTTGTCTCCCATCTTTTGTTTCTTCTCTTGTAAAGGGAGCTGAATACCTTTGAATCCTGTTGCTTCAATGTGCCATCTGTCTTGTTTGGGGAAGATGGTCTTTGGCAGAAAAAACAGTGGTATCTAATCTGTAATTCTAAATTCTGTAAGCATATTGCCAGTAGAGGTGCAATCTTCTACTAGACAGAGTTAGACTTCAGTCTCTCTACTAGTATGAGAACATTTCCCATTTGTTCTTACCATATGTTAAGACAGGAAAATGTAATTCACATGGGATTTAAAAAGAAATAACTTGCATTGGATGGATGTGTCTGGAAGGATGAACACTGGTTTGGGTAGAGAATTAAGGGGTTTTTTTAATCATAACAAAACTTTTTGTTACCTTAAGGAAATCCAAAGAGGAGCAAAATGTGCCATGTTATCTTGAGGTATGGGGTTTTTGGTTTTTTTAATCAAAAAAAGTATACACAAATATCTCACAGAACATGGACATACAGAGTAGTTACGAGCTGGAGCGTAACCTTGTGCCAGTCCAGTTCAAGAGTGGCTCCCTTGTTGACATCAATAAGGTATTTCTTCTGAGCCTTGCCGACAGTTAAGGTTGAGTGGCACTATCTGGTAGGGCTGTCTTAATCAAGGCTGTTAAATGACAGTAATTTCTGCAAATAATTCCTTTTCAGATTATGCCCCATATTTAAATGTTTGTGTATATTCCAGATAACATGCTTTTCTTCTTTTGTGTTTGTTTTCAAATCTAACCTGATGAATATTATGCACTTTTATAAAAAAATTACTTAATAGCAATATCTTTTATTCTACTGTAAATTAAACATAACTTAATGACCAATGTTTATGACTATCAAAGCATTATTTAATGTATTAGGGTGTGTTTTTCACAACACTTTGTGTTTGAGATTATTTTCCGCTCTGACTATTAGCTGTTTGTAATACTTCTCTGAAAATGACTACCAATAAATTACATGTTGACAGAGGTGGCTTTAAGAATGACTTTATGGTTTTATTGTTGTTTTAAAACAGATGATATTGTTGTCAAGGCAATGAACTCTTCTTTCCCCCAAGGACAGAATTGCTTACATTTCTACACTCCAGAAATGAGTTTTAGCTGAAAAGCCAGTAACGCGGGGAGAAGTGAAAGAAGGGCAAAATGGAGAGGAGAAAGTATTTGTTGTTTAAACTAAGGTCACTAAAATATTTTCCATTCAAACACAAACTTTTTTATATTTTCCCAAAAAAAAGAAAGCTTGTGGAAAACACCTTCTAGATAAAGTATTGTATTTTCATTCATTGTAATTCATTGTATTTTTATTTTCACTACTCTTAATGTTAAGATTAAGGGAAATTACATCGGCATTTATAATTGGCTAATAATGAAATAACAGCCTCCCCTTCTCAAGAGGCAGATGAGGATGCCAAAAAGCTCTCTGTAACAGACAGCATTCAGAGAGGCATTTATGAATGAGTTTCAAACTTTTCTTCAGCCCCTGCACAGTATTGGGCGTACTGGGGGTCACCAGGAGTTGCTACAGAGAGACCAAGTGTCAGTGAGCAGAGAAGTGTGACCCACGTTCACGTATTGGGAGAGTGTTGGTCAAGACTGAAGAATTTTGACCAAGCATCTAACTCGTGGTAGTTGCTAAGGGATTGAAAATGAACACTGGGATTACAGTACCTATATAAGTGATGGATAGCATCACTAAATGCAAATATATAACATGGTCATAACTTTAAAGTGATAGTTTTTCAGTCTTTTTTGTTATTAACTTACACTTATCATGGTGCTGTCATTTTTAAGTACAAATTCATTAAGCTTTTCAACCCAGATACTTTCAACTGAGAAAGTGGAGGACTTCCTAAAAGACAATTTCTTTACTTATTCACTGTAAATGCTTATGCTGCTTTTGCAGATGGTCACTGCAAAGCGTTAATCTTTCAGTTGCAAAAATATTTTATTTTTGACATAACCTCAGAGTTACAGATTCCATCTGGCTGTTTGTCAGAGGAATGTGCCCTCATTACAAATACCTTTTTAGACCTTTTTGTCTACACCATGCATCCTAGTTGAGTTTTCTGTTAATTAGATATGATGTAAAGAAAATAGTAGGAAACTATTCTGACAGTGGATTTTTATGCTATCAATACCTTATTAATTATAAAATGTGTTTAAAAGTCTAATTTCTAATTCAGAAATTGCATCAATCTCCTGCAGCTTTGCATGCTATTGTAAACAGGTTTGTTATATAAAGATATAAGAAAAATATGACTGGCTGTGAAGGCTTGATTCATACATTTATTTTTTTCAAAGAGGGTTAATACAAAGTCTTCTGCTTTCCCTTCATTTTGATATCTAAGCTGAAAATTTGCTTTTCAAAGTAATATTTTGGATGATACTTCACCTTATTTTTTTTCATGCATAACAAAATGCTAGGGCTTGCTTATAAAAGGAGATCTGCTTTTGTTTCAAACAGTTCCTTCATTTTTGAAA